CCATAGATCATTTGTATGTATGTACATATGTATGTACGTACATCGAATATCAACTAAATCACATTCGCGTGCAAATATTGTCACGGCTTGTTTGCAGTATCCCCGAAATATTGATCAAATTATTTCGAAACGGGTGTCAATTTCAATGATTGCCATGAATTTCGCGGCCCGGGGAAATAACATTTTACTTGTTATTTGATCTTTTGTACAATGTTTTATTGTGAATTTTGGAAATGGGAGATGTTATTTTTATTTCGTCAAAAAATCGAAACCGATACGTTTTCAGAGTGGCATCGATTTGAAAACGTATGTATATGTTTATACATATCCATTATCAGGATCTATTCTACGTTTGGACTGTGTGTTGGCAGAGTGTTATCCATTTTGTATTAATTCTATGAGCATTCGCGGCTATTGCAACTCATCACGTATAAAAATGCGATCATACAAGGAATACGGAGAGAATATTCGCAGCAGTTTCGTCAAGCATATATTTTCGTCACGGGATTGTCACGAGAACATGTGCTGATCACGTCATGAGATGAGGAACTCTGGTATGCGGTTTAGTTGGACCATCGCACAAAGCTATAGTGGGTATAGTACATATAGTATAGCGTCGATGATTAATAGGAATCGACGGATCGTCAGTGTCTATGTAACGTGAAATATCGCCAATAAATATTCGGTTGCCTGTATAACCGGTTCGCAGGCAAGGAAATATTTTTTCTGTAACTGATATCGTTCTGCTCTCTCGCTTAGAGACTTATTCAAGTGGTCCCCGTTATAATAAATGGCGTCAACAACGGTGATGCGTGACACCGATCACCTTGCTACTGTTCTATTGAATGGAATTAATCGATTCAGTATTGTATGTTGCCATTGTACGAGAAATATGACTACACGTGTGTAGTGATACTTGTTCGTAAATAAGTTTCATCGGCGCAGTACACAGTCACATAATAGACTGTGGATTTTGGAATGTATCGCGCGACAGATGTGAGAAGAAGGTGACGCGCAAATCAGGACAACAGGATCGCGAGGAAAGTAAAAGACGAGAACGAGAATACGTTGAATGGAAAACATTTCATGAAATTACATGGATAGATGGTAATTGTACGTGTTGGTGAATTCGTCCTGGAGCAATGTTCTCTGGCCGCTGTGGAAGCTGTGTGAGCGGAAGCGTGAAACGATGAATACAAGCTGCACGATTTCCATAATTTCAGTAACGCGTAACTTTCTCGCCGACTTAATATACCGTAAAAATAATTACTGCCGCGGAAATGGATTCAAGAGCGATCGTGTCGTGAAGTTGAGAAGAAAACGCGATATCGTGGATCAGCAGGGGGGTGCGCGTATTCATCGCCTGGCGAGCGAAGAACCAGCAGACGGCGCGGTGAGAAAGAGATTCTTCTCTGGTTTCGTCGTAAGCTGGCTGGATGCACGAGCACAAACTTTCGTACGTTCGCAATGCGATATATTGTTTTCATCAGGATACGTATATATATAAATATATATATATATATGTATATGTATATGTATATGACGGTAGAAATACATCGCTTTATTTTTCTCTCTTTCCTCCCGGCTTCTGTCTATACACAAGTGTATGTTTCTCTCTCTTCCTCTCTTTTCTTTCTCTTTCTCACTCCTGAGCGCATTTGTCGGCTCTCGAGTAGGTGTTATTGTGTTATACGGATACGACAACTTTCGAGATGTCTCTGTCTCGTGCATGAATCCCGAGCAAACGTGATTATTTTTCGCAATTTGCTAAGCAGATGCCTCCATTGTACGTAGCTCTGCCATGGCAGGAGTTTGTTTTCCCCTGCCTTTCTCTCTTCCCCTTTTTTCTTTTCCTCTGACCTTCTCTACCTCATCGAGCCCTCGTCTCGTCGTGTCGACAAGATTTTTTTTCTTTTCACCTGTATACACGTCGTCGTGTACGCGTCGCGTTTATTTGCGAATACACACGAGTCTAGCGACTCTGCAACCGCTGCGCACCCCTTCTAGACTTGCTCGGGTGTTCGTTGATACACGTAGACACGGAAAACGCGCGAATCCACGCACGCCGGGGGCTGCATATTTTAACCAACTTGCCTACGTGCATTGTCTTCTCGAAGTTCCCGTCTCGCTACGCTATAGCACATCGAGAAATAATGATCGTACCCAACAGCATTCTACTCCTCCATCTATTCTTTGTGAGAGAGCAAAGCATCCGTGACAACAATGTTGCACTACGCTCGAGAGATTGCGTGAACCGTATCCTTTTCTTGCTTCGATTGTATCCTCCCTCGATGGGTACCAAGAAGGGTGATTCTCGCGAATCGCTGCGAGGCTTCTTCCGCAGGATATTCTGTTTATGCCGAAATATTTCGTTGTTGAAAACTCGAAGGGGTTGTTACTCGTCTTTCTCTTTCCTCGGGTCGTTCGATTGAGTTTAGACCGGAGAAATGAGTCGTCGAGCAAGGCGATGCATCGAAAACGAAAAAGGATTGTGGTAGATAGTTGAATAAAAACCAAAACTAGTTTCCATTGAAAGTCGATCAATAAAGCGTCGTAATTTTTCGAGTCGTCTGTGCGAATTATTTCTGTTTTTCGATTCATCAAGTTCAGTTGACGATACGTGCGTGTGTCACTAGTTTGCGTTTTGGCAAAACGCAATATCATTTCGAAGACATCTAGATGAGAATTTGCGTCGATTGCGACTCGCATAATTGAGTCGTATTCAGTCTTAATAAGCTCATTGTATACATTGTGTTCGGTGCAGTTCATTGCGTGTCGCAGCCAAGCGTGTCGCAGAGGTATGTACATATCGCGCGTTAAAGCCTTTGTTAATTCGATTGTCCTCACAGTTGAATTACCGTTATCGAGAGTCGATATTCCAATTGTACCAACGTCAAGGCTGCAAGGAACCAAGATTTCGAGTCGGGCGGACACACTTGTTTGCGCAATCTTCCTTCCTGCGTAATTTATGCGCATGCCAGTTGAATTATTTTCATCGTGTTTCGCATACGATTTACTCAAGTGACGAGCGGAAGACGAATCGTTAGAATCTATTCGAGTTCGTAGTACGCGTCGAAGAAATTAGGTTGATGGTTAATGGAATATTCTGTTACGGACAATAAGGAAGTTAACTTCCTTTCATTTTTCTAATTTGGACAATTAATATTCAATTGCTCTACTTTTCGATTAGTTCCGATTGAAGAGTTATTGAGTATGAAAACGAATCGAGTAGCTATCGTATTTTTCGGGTCTTCCGCCTTCTTAACGATATACACGCATCCCGTAGAAGCTTGCACAATAGAACTTCTTCCTGTAGAACAATCGAATTACGAAACCGGCGAATTTCGAAGAATAGATATAGATGAGATACGAGAGCGCACAAGTATCCGTCGCACCGTTTGCCTCTTCAAAGAATTGCCTTTTTCCAACTCGTTTTCAACTCTACACTCTCCGCTCCTGCTCGCGATACATTATGTTTTTCCGAACGCGGTAATGACTGAACCTCCGAGGGGCTTCAGAAGTGTACAGCATGTAACTTTAACTTTTTTTCTTACCTACTTGTTTTCCCTTCTCGAACATCTTTTGACGCCTCATGATTTCAAATTACGCTTGAGAAGATCTGCGAGTACTTTCGAACGCTGTTCCTCCTACAATTGGCGTTTCCTCCAGTACGAGCCGTGGAACTGAAGGCTCCGCTTTTCGCAAGTTTTCGCTTGTCAACCGAAAATCGGCTTTTTTTCTCTTCTTTTTCTTGCGATGGAAATGTCGATTTCCGTGCTCGGAAAGTTATCTTTCGATCTCAAAAGCGTCGAGGAGGCTACGCGTCACGTGTTTATTGAAATCCACGTGAACACTGGTGACGCAGTCAATCGCGCGGTAAATGAAAAAAAAAAGATAGGAACCGAATTGAGGGTGGCAAGGTTACACGGCACGGTACGTGAGGAGGGAACCGCGGGCGTCGCTTCGGTGGCGGGCTACGTTGAAAGCGCTCATTGAAATGACTCGCGGCAGTCTGACGTACGCAGATCATTAATTGAAATTCCGTTACGCAAATGCTACGTGCATGTACGTACTACATACTTCCTATGCAGCGTGTTCGACGCATTCGCACACAGATAGGCGACCGTCTCGGTGATACCAGACTGAAATACCGAGACCAGACTAGATTCTATCGTTTTTATCGACGTAAATTAACCGCAAGAGCATGCAGTTAATTAGGAACACACGTTCGCCTGATATTCGTGTTTCGCGTAACGCAAATGGCTGCTTTTTCCTGATGCAGTTGTAAAAATAATTGTCGCGGATATGTATGCATTGAAATACAAAAGTTAGAAAAAATAATGGAAAATTAATTGTACAGTTAACGGTGATGTGAGATTGCATGCTGGTGACGTAAAGAAGAAATACGAGCACGCGAGAATAACGTATTGTTTAGCTGTGTAATTATCGGTGAAAATTGTTGCGAAAATAATTAAAATGTTGGAAGATTGAACAGAATTTCGCGAAAGCATGTGACGCACAAAGCGCGTAGAAAAGCGAGGGAACTGATTCCGATCTCGCGCGCTCCGGTCTCTGTGATTTTTCCGTCTCCTTTCCACGGGCCTCTCTTCTGTATACTCCGCACAATGTGCACACGACTTTCGGCATTGCTCTTTCCAAGTTTGTCGGCAATTCCTGTGATGTCTGCCTGGCCTTGCGAGCACAAGAGAAAATGGCACTTTTGTGTCCCGGTTACTAATGCGTCTCGTAATAATTTCGTTTTTTTTGTCGACTGCCTTTTACGTGAGTCATTTCTTCGTTGCAATTTCTGGATCGTTCTTTTCTCTCTCTCTCTCTCTCTCTCTCTCTCTCTCTCTCTCTTTACGTGCACCGTACGTAAAGAGAGGGGCACATGCGCGTGGAAATCAGTCGACGAGAAAAAGATGAAAAAAATAGAAAGAAGAATCTGTCAAGTTTTATCTTTGAAGGTTTGACAATGCGACATTTTGGATTATTTGCAGAAACGATATGGAAGTACGGACGGAGAAAGCTCGAACGGCTGGCCGGATAGCACCGACCGGACGCGTTACTCCGACCATACATCAAACTGGTGGAGGAAGAAGAAAAGCGATACCAGTTCCGCCGCCGAGGGTGCCGACCCCTATGCCCACCGCGAACAATAATCAGCAAAAGTAAGTAAATTATGTTCTCGATAGTCCGTATCGCATTTTTTCGTTTCGTTCGACCAGAAACGCCAGACTATCGGCGAAAGTAAAGATAAGAATAAACGGCGTGAATAAAATGGCGTTTCGCTCATAGCGCATAAGAAATAGGAGCACAAATGTAATCTAATTGCATGATATATCTTGTTTACAGGATAATATTCAGTGAACATTATCTGTCTATATATATAATTATAGAATTGAAGAAATTATTTTCGCAAGGAGATCCTTAACCCATTTGCATCGCGACTTAAATTTCATGACTTAAAGTACTCGTGTCTACATATATTGTAATTTATCAAATCTCGATTTCACTATTCTCTATTAATACCAACTAACTACAATGAAATATTAGAATACGAGACGGAGTACACAATATTATATGGAGAATTCATAATCTAACCAATATAAGTTACTTTTGATTAAAAACAGTCTGTGCTATGAAAATATTTTTTTTGGCAAAATCTTTAGTCAACAGAGCGGCCATTATTATATGGTGAATGATTGTGAACATAATTATTAGAATATAATAATTAAAATTATAAAATATTAAAATAACGTTACTATATAAATACTATATAAATCATTACATATATTACTATATAAATCATTAGAAATAATTATGGTTCGATTGATGGATTTTGTTTTAATAACAAAAAGGTATTTACATGATACAAACGGTTCTTAATAAGAAGTTACATTAACTTTTAATTAACTTCTGGGCATTTCATTTATTAATGAATATAACATTTTTAATCGCTGCTCGCGAATTATTCCGTGTTTTATCGTTTATTCTTGAAATATTTCGTTTTGTAAAGCAAAATTTTAAATCGTGTAAATTCAGAATGTGAATAGAGTGATCCATTCCAATGATCAAGTTCCATTGATCTGATTCTACGATGCGATGACATTAACGACTATTCTATTATAGCTTATAATTAATTAATTCTTCATATTTTTATTCAAAATTGTCACTGTTTTTGCTATTATTTTCATTTGCTTCATATTGATTTCAACACAATTTGATTCATTTGAACTAATATTATTGTACTATTAGCTGTAAAAAAAAATGAGCAAAATTTGTGAATTTTTTTCGAAATCGATATCTATCGATAATCGGAGTGACAGATGATAAGTCTGCTTTGTACATTGCGCATGCTTGCAATCATTTTCGTCACAAATATCTAAACAGTGAAGAAAAGAATTATTGACGAACCGTGGGTCGTATATCACTTCCTGACATTCGGATTTTAATCCGCATTTTTGTGGAATATCAGAAAAGGGGGGAGCGAGAGAGAGAGAGAGAGAGAGAGAGAGAGAGAACTATTAAGTAAGATCAGAACTACGCAGAGTTTGATCTCGATTGATCAAAGTTTACTGAGCTACTAGCGGTCATTTCAAGATGTTTTCATCTATGTATGTACAGTATTTCGTATAGTTTCTATAAAAAGTATAGCTAGTAACGATATGTTTAGTTCAATTGCATTAAACGTTCGATTGTAGAAGCTTTTTAGAATTTGTGCATTTTAGAATTTTTTATAAATAAGGAGTAACTGGTAACGAATTAGTAAAAGAGGAATAAGGGTTGGCGAAGCGTTCTTAAGCGCGAATGAATTCAAGTCGAAGGTTTAGAAATGCTTGCCGCGGTGACTGGCAAAGTGACGTGGTTGTTCACCCGTGGTCCCTTCCGATAGAGCATACAACTTTATCTTGCGGTTTAGGGGGATTTTGCGGAGGTTTCCGGCAATAGGCTAAGACCAGAATAGGCTCCATTAAATACGGCATAGCAGCGAAATACGGAGAGTTTGGCCCGTCTGATTAAAGTTTACGAAACACGAGACCACCGACCACTTTACCGATCTCTTCGACCAATCTACTTCGACCACACGTTGAATTCGCCGGTACACGGATTCGAGGGGTTCTTTACCACTTGCTCCTTACACTATCGTATTAACTCTAAAGTACATAAACGACTATCGTCCGTTTTCTCCATCCAATCGTTCGATTTTTCTATCTCTAGCAAGATTAGCAAGTCCAATTGCACCGTGGATACTGGATCGAGCTGCGTTCATTGTTTTTTATTGTGTTGTTTTTAATAGCTTGTTAACTAATGCGGGTTATTAAGGGGAATGTTATTCCTGTTCGGGTATCGAAGAACATGGCAGTGGGATGAGAAAACTGGCTGCGTCCAGTCAGACTCGTTATATCGCGACGCGGTGGCGGACTGACGTAGTTGCGATAGAACCGTAAAATGTATAGTGCACATTGCCAACCATTTACTGTGCAACTTGTGTTTCGTGGCGCATTCCAGCCACGTAGAAGACTTAACGGAGTACCATATCTTTCGAGCAAGTAGCGAATTCATTTCCCCGACGTCCCATAATCCAGTAAAGAGATGTGTTTTCAACGTGTCTGCATTCGAGCTATCCCTTTGCCAGCTCTATTTTGTTTCTCTTTGCTGGTTTAACTATCGTATCTTCTCGTATCGCAAAAATTGCAAAAAATCTCGTATCGTAAACTCCCCGTTTGATTTTGATCTTGATCTTACAAATTGCAGTAGCGCCGGAGCTGCGTCAATTCGCAAAAAGTACGCGTATTTTTTTACCGTAATCGTCCTTGGTTTCCCTATGATTATGGTCGAAGTTTATGTGGAATAGCGAACGACTGAATTCGACTGAATTCTGCTTTACAGAATAATACGAAACGAACGTAAGGTAAAAGACAAAATTCAGCAAATTTCGTGTTCTCGTATCGCGCGGTGTTCGCGATCGATGGCCGGGCTGGTTGTTCAAATTTTTAACGAGTCCCGCTGCACCGTGAAATTAATTACTTAACGGCTGGAGTTTTTTCCACGAGATGGAAATCAAATCCCCGCCCTTATTCCATTTTCATGGGTTCATTCTCCTGTGTTTCTCCGAGCAACTAACTAACACAGACAGTATCTTTGTGTCGTTGCCGACACGTACACACGTACACATTAATACGTTATTAAAACACGGTAAGGACTGCTACTTGTCGAGTGCGAACGTGTAAACAAAATATCCCTCTTCCACTAACTTTGTCTCTGATATCCAAGCGAGAGTCATTACGTCGATTAAAAAGCGTCGTTCGTTAATTAACGTGGAATATTGTTTTCCTCTGCGAATTTAATAGCAGCAAATTCCCAAAAAGTTGGTAACAGACACAACTGGAAACCCGGCACGATTCTCGTACGAATATTCGACGAACGGGCGAGGGTTTTAATCCCCGGGGCTGGTGGTTTAACGAGAGACAGAAGCGTTGGGAGAGGAGCATGCAAGTGTCTGGGTGTGGGCGAGAGAACGGAAAGAGAAAGACTAAGAGATTAGAGATCTACAACTTATCTCGAAAAGTGGTTTCCGTCGTTACACAAGTGATTGTACAAGTGGTTGTAAGCGGCTTAAAGCTACATCTATGTGATTTCGGTGCGTATATCGCCTGACTGTTATATGTAACAGTCAGGATAAATCTGCATTCTATTAATTAGACATTGAAATCTGCTCGATTGTAGAAGCGTATTCTCCAGACGTCTCTTTACTGATATCTATCTAAAAGGAATAAATTGACGCAAGAGAGAAGAGAAAGAAGGGGGTGGGGAGAGAGAGAGGAGAGAGGCGTTTTATATATTATTTACTGTACAAGTATACCAACGCGTCGCCTCGCAACGGTCGCTCTATCTGAACTGGCTGTAATAGCGGATGTAGCCGGCAATGGATAAAAACTCGCGTATAGCACGGATTAAGATCGTTTTAATTTCATTGGTTTGGGCTAATTACCTGTCTCGACGACCGACTACCAAATTCCCGCGGTTGCGAGTCTCCCGCGTCTGCATTCCATGCGCTCGTCGAACCTTTTCCTCTTATCCCTCTTTAGTTTTCTTCGTTTCTCTTTTCTCTTTCTCTTCCCTCTTCCCTCTCCCCTTTTTTTTCACGAATCCTGATCAAGTATCCTGTACGACGAGAATGATCGTCGTGTAGTTGTTTTAAGGTAATAAAAACAATTTTCCGTTTTCACTGTGAAACACGGATCGAACGAGCAACGTCGAGAAGTTTAAAGCGTGATATCCGCAAGAATGGGCCAGTTATCCAACATGTTCGCAACGGTGCGAATTTTTCTAATCTAATTTTTTAATTAATTAGCGACGGACTATGAACGTAGGAGCCGATCCCCGGCCGGCAATAGCCGGTACTCCACAGCGCGCCACTCCGTGCGGAACAGCTAAAGGTTCATTAGATCTTTCAGCATAGGCTGAAATTCTGTCGACCACATGGTAAATAGATAGCTGCCGCTTTATATAAAGCAAAGAGTGGCTTTGTACCAAAGAGAGTTACCCGTGTATGTATTCATTAGGGAGTATTTAGCATAGTTTCAATGAGCAATGGAAGGCTCGGTTTCGGCTTGATGGGTACTTCATATACGCGCGCACTCGTCTCACTGGACGAAGAATTACCGATGCGAATCGTGAAATTTTACAGTCTGATACGACCCGCGGTACACGTTGGTGATTATAAAACGGCCAAAATGATCATTTTACTATGCACGTACTTTTCAACTATTGGCAGATAATTTAGCAGATAATTTACAATTCCACGAAAATAGTAAAAAGATTTGAAATAAAACAAGATTAGATAACATAAAAATCAATTCAAGGTTATTAGTCACGGTATTTATGGCTAATGAATAAATGTACGTATGAATCGACGAGCGATTAGAATCCAAACAAAATATCGATAACGTGGATTTCGTTTTAAACGAAAAGATTAGATCGGGTATAGAAGTAGAAGGACGAATAACTCCAAGTTCCATTCAAATCACCAGTTCAAACTGGTGAACTGACGCAAAGCGTTTCGATACGATTTTTATTTCCAAATGACGCGACCGAGACGGTGCGTGCGGATCGATCAAAAATTCCGTGGTTGGAAAAGTTTATCGACCAGTTTGTGTTAATGAAG